ATCCTTGTGCTCTTGCTTCTCCTTCTTCTCCTAAGCTGTCCTAGGTCTAAGGTATGTCAAAAGTGTGTCAAAAATAGTATTTTGGGGTATTTAATCCGCCCAAAATAAATTTCGGATGAAACTACCCTTTCTTAGTGAAATAGGACTTTTTCCGGATAGGATATGCGCGATAGCGCACCTGCTCGCGCACTTGGTCGCGCATTTAGCACATTGTTCTGCCCCAAGTGTGCGCCCAGATGCGAGATCGCACACTTGATCGCTCACCTGGGTGGTAAGTTAGGAATTTGGGAAAATGTAAAACATGAAAGTTATAACCCTTTTAAATAGCTTTCCAACGATATATTGTGGAGCCCAAACGGAGTTCCGAGCGAAAAGTTATGTGTATTTTACTGGATAATACGCAGTATGCCTGCTCGATTCTTCTTTTCGTTCTTAAAGTGCATTATCATCCGTTGAATCCCGAACACGATCCCAACTTAACCCTTGGGCTTTTACTCTGACTTCAAAGCTCCAAAATAGCAGGAATTCATGCCACAACATCTACATATCTCGGAATCACTCCTACAGGGCATAAAACACACAATAAGTACAAAACACGCCTAATTAAAGCTCAACGTAAGTAAAGTGCAGTGAATTAGAGTGCAATAAGCGACTAAAATACGGAATTATAGCCTACCATCATATAATAATCTAATTTTTTGCCTTTACATTCTAGTTTGATTGATAGTTTTCTTTTCCTAAATACAAGAATTTATTTTATATTAAAGATAATCGATTTTTAATTGAGTACTTTAATTATTCATCACTATTTGATTCAATTATCATCAATATATCTTGGTAAATGATAAATTTGTCAAAAAATAATTGATTTGATAGTGTTATGTTAAAAATATAATCGCCGAAATATGCGTTTGATAGTGTATGTCTCATATTTAAAAAATAAAATCGATAAAAAATCGACATAACCGAATTAAATCGAATCAATAAAAAATTAATTTAATTAATTTAATTTGATTCTAATATTTAAAAAAACAACTTAATTAATTTGATTTCTTTTTAGAAAAAAATCTACTCAAATCTAAACATGAACCGGATGACCGGTATAAATGTTGGCTAACCAAACTTTGATTTAGTTCTGGCATGAAAAGACAGATGCATTGTCACAGCATAGGGTGCTCACTTTGAGTTTTAGTGGAAAAAAGAGCAGAGGAAGTTCTATTACAGCGTGGTGATTAAAAGCGCAATTGTCCCATTTTCCAATCTCATTCGGTGATAAAGAGACGGCGTTTGATTAGTTTTGGCTGCACCACACGTCGCCATTATGTCCCCACGAGATTCTGCCCTCTATTCAGCGCCGTACGCACCACCCCACGTGCTTTCCCAGTACTCTTTTGTCCCGCACTATAAAACTCTCTTCCACGCGCCATTTACTCACTTCCTTAGCTCTACTCCCTCCGATTATACGACATACTTTCCTTTTTAATTTTTTTAAAATAAATAATATATTTTTAAATTTAAAACTAATTCAACTTTAAATTCTTTATTTTAACTATTTTATCCTTAATGAAAAGCTTTTTTATAATCACATAAATGTTATGACCCAACAAAACTTTTACCCCTTAAGATTTTAAGAACACAAATTGCAAAAGACTTCTTTCATTTCTTAAAATCTTTGTTGCATCAAACTTACTCATCTAAATTAAAATGGAGTGAGTAGTATTTTATGGAGTATTTATAATTTAAAATTACCATCCAATTCTTAAATTTGTCTAAACCACATTTACATTCACATTTATCCTTTTGTGTCATGCTTTTACAATAATTTAATGTTATATCATGTTAGAAATAACGATATATTCTAGATCTATATTTCAGCTTGAAATCTTTGTCTACTCAAATGCCCACAAAATGTGGAATAAAAAGTACTTCCTCTTGTATAATTTATTTGAATTTATTTGACTGAATATGAAATTTAAAAAAAATTGTGAAACTTTTGATACTTATGATAAAAAATTAAGTCATAAATATTTATGTGACTATAAATCATTTCATTAATTATAAAAGAAAAACTATATAATTAAATTATTTTTAAATTTAAAAAAGATCAATTTTTGCAAGCGGATTAATAAGGAAATAAATTTACCTAAATAAAATCATTTTTATTGATATGAAATTTCTAAGGGCTAGAAGTAGGGGTGGGCGTTCGGTCGGTTCGGTTCAGTTTTAAGAAATTCAGTTCGATTATTTGAATTTCGGTTTTGTAAAAGTAGTAACCGAAACCGAACTGAAATAAGTTCGGTTCAGTTCGGTTTTCTAATTTCGGTTCGGTTTTCGGTTTGAACATTATCATATTGGGCTCTCTGTGTAATAATTGGACTGGCGGATTTGTTGGTTTTGTTTCAAATTTTCGGTAAATTAGACTGAAACCAACCAAAAATTTGTTGGTTTGCTAATAATTCGGTTTTTCGGTTAACCGAACCAAATAAATTAATAACTGAAAACCGAACCGAAAAACTGAAATTTTAAAATTTTAAACCGAAACCGACCGAAAAAACCAAATAAACCGAAACCGAAATAATAAAAAAATCGATTCAGTCTGTTTTTTCGATTCGGACCGAAATATGCCCACCCTGCTAGAAGCACACAAAAGGCTCGAGCCATTTAAAAAATGCAAGGATATAAATCAAAGAAGATGGTATTACGGACATGAAGTATGATCAATTTAAATTAGCTTTTTTTATTTATAATTAGTGCGGTTAAGCGTTTAAACTCATAGTATTAAGTCGAGCATAAAATAAATCTGGACCGCTAATAAGGAAAATGATAAACTTTTAACTACACGAGATCTAATCTCTTCGGTATAAATCAAGACTATGAAATTATCAATTTTTCAAGGTGAATGTAACATTGAAATTATTTGAAGCTGTATATAGTAAAAATATGGTATATCGAGGCACAAATAATTTTAAAAATTTTAGTCACCAAAATTAGAAAAAGAACAACAAAATGTATTATTATACTATATAAGAAAAGAAATGACCATACTCCTGATGCCCGCCAGATGGCGTCTCGATAAGCAATTGGAGTAATAAAAAAAGATATTAAAATGGAAAGAGAGGTAAACCGAATCTACTCCACAAATTCCGCCGACGAAAAGAAGGAATAGACTATAGAGTAGAGTTTGGAGTAGGGCCCATCAGAAGCGGCAGCGACGAAACGACTCTACACAAAGTCCACACGTGGGGCCTACGCCGCTGTCCCCTTCCTCCCTTCTGCCTCCTTCTTTCCTTAGCTTTGCCTACAAATTTATCCACATCACACCAGCCAATCTGCTCCTTCCACGAATATCCAAATTATTATTTTCCTTCATTTTCTTAAAAAATATTTATAACCATTTAACATTAAATAAATTAAAATAGATTGTCAATATTTCATAGTATAATTTTTGCAACTCTTAATATATTAAAGTATTTACATTTCATTTTGATGTGATGCAATTTTCTTTTCTTTTAATCACAACTTTTATATTTTCTCACCATTAGTACTTTACCTTAAAGTTCTATTTTATGTTATGATATTCTTTTTATACTCTCTCTGTTTTAATTTATGTGAACGTATTTGACTAAACACGAAGTTTAAGAAAAGAGTGAAGACTTTTGAACTTGTGGTGTAAAATGAGGCACATATATTTTGTGTGGTTATAAATAATTGCATAAATATAAATTATTTCTAAATAGAGAAATAAATCATTTTTTTTTGTACAGACTGAAAAGAAAATCTGTTAACATAAATTGAAACGAAGAGAGTATATCTCAAGAAGAATAAGTAACACTTTAATATTTAGAAATATCTAATATTGAATTTTTATTTTATCTTTAATAAACTAATTATAATTACATATACATCGATGATTTGTTTGTAAATATAAATTTTGAAAATATGTTTTTTTAATTCTGCACCCCAATCAAACACTAGTATGTAAATTGGAGCGGAGAAAGTATAGAAATCCATAAAACATGTTATATTCTGCTTTTTATTTAACACAATCACATAAAATGATAGGAGTAGTAATCGTTAAAGTGACAATTTATATATTTATCAATTTAACAATATATAATATTGAAAGGCGGAATAGTACACGTGCCGGCCACCTTAGACACGACATGTAATCGTAATCATATGGGACCACAATCTATCGCCATCCAGGGACATGGATTTCTGCTACTTAGACTGCATTAATTTTATTTTTATACCGAATTTGTTGGTGTTATTTTATAATTTTATAAAGTGAGATTTGCAAAAAGTAATACATACGCAAACTTTATTCCTGCTAAAAATAAAGATAAAAAGGAATCGAAATAATAAAACAATATCATTGAGCAAAAAATAATAAATAAGATAATGGAGCCGAAAGAAGCAACATACAATAAAGAAATATGTGGATAAAAAAATACTAGGACACACATAAGTATTTTTTTCTACTTTTAAAGAAGTTATTTTTTTCTTTCTCTTAAAAATTATTTCTATTTTGTTCAAAAGCGGTTTTTTCCTTTAAAAAATTTGACAAATACCTTAATTTTTTTTAAAAAATATTTTTCTTTAATAACAAATACTTTTAGCCAAACAGGCTATAAGCATGACACTAGATGCAATATTTGTATAAGCGGCATTTGGACAATTTCATATAAAAAGTTCTTTTAAAAAGCTTAAGGGAGATCTTTTAACTAGTCATTATTTTTAAAATATTTCCTCTTACTCCAATTTATTACTATTAAAATAATGTACAAGGTTGTAGTACCAAACAATCAAAGACTACCGTCCAAACAAACATATGCTATTGCTAACCTTTTCTTATTCTTTAGCTTAGATGGCCGGCCGGCAACGAACATTCGAACTATACAAACTCGAGGAAAAAGTTAAAAACAAAACAGAAGTAAAAGCACACACCAATTTTATGAACAGAACAGAGCTGAAAAGCACACACCAATTTTCTTTTGAAAGAAGTAAAATTCAAAAGTTTTCATTAATGAGCAGATCTAAAAGATGAGTAATGAGGTACAAATGGTAGAAACAGCAAGAGATAATTAACAACAAACCCCCTCAGCTGCAAAAACAAGAACAGTTTTTAAACCTATATACAAAAATCAGCCCTTAATCACTCTCTAATTAAGTTGTCACTATCAAGCTTCCATAGGTGGGGCAAGGTTAAGATCAAGATTTAGTTCTCTTCTAGCTACGCCTCCTCCTCCGTAATAGTTCTCGTTCCCCGCAGTCGATGGGCTCGAGTCACTATGAACTACCCTACCACTAACGCCGTTAAACTCAACCGCCACCGGTTCAAACCCGAACGGCTTTGGCCGGTTCAGCACTCCGGTTGGCACAAAAGTACTGTCGAACAACAAAATTGACTGGCCATTAGGCAGAACCGCCACTGTCGGTTGCGGATGAAAAATCGGAAACCCATTCCGGACAGGGTTGCCACCTTCACCAACAGCGTTTAGACGGCGCGTGAGGTCGAGCTCAAGAGGCGCGTGAACGACGGTTTCCCCACTAGAGGACTCTACAGGGCTGCTGCTGTCACTAGTCAGAGCTCCCATAACAGGTTGATGATGGAAAATCGGAAACCCATTTCTCACCAATCCAACTTCTGATTTACGACCACCGTGGTCACCGCCTACAACGACGGTTCCAAGGGGGCGCGTTAAGTCAAACTCAGACGGAGCGTCAGGCGCGTGAACATCGGTTTCTCCACTGGAAGACTCTGTTGGTCCACTGCTGTTACTGGGACACTGATTCTCCGATGGCAAGGGGAAGTTCGTCTTGGCTTTGGGTCCACGAAACTCTCTGGCGGCGGTATCATAAGCCTTTGCCGCCTCTTCCGCCGTGTCGAAGGTGCCTAACCAAACTCTGCTCTTCTTGCCGGGATCACGGATTTCAGCAGCGTAACGACCCCATGGCCTCTTTCTCACTCCTCTGTAGTGAACCTCTTTAACTCCGTTAGTTTTAACATTTCCTCCTTTCAAACTGCCATTTAGCTTTTCTTTCATAGCCAATTTTGTATAGCTGAATGGTGTTTTTTGTGACTGAACGTGTAAAGATATATAACTTGAGAAGCTGTGGTTCTACTTATGATGTGTAGAGGTGCTTATATAATTGAGGATAGAGGGGAAAGCAGAGAGGGTAAAACCTTTGTCTTGCATTTAACGGTGTATAACAAGCAAATCTTCTAAAAGACAATGGTACTATTGGATTTTTTTACGTAATTCTTTGTCCGCTACCATTTGTTTGGACGTAACTTTAACCAAATTAAGTTGGGGTAATATGTACAGAATATTGAAAATATCCATAATTCAATATTTTATTATTATTTTGTTCATTATTTACTAATTATTTAAGTTTCCACTTAAAATAGAGAATTTAAATTTTAAAGCTTGCTTAAAAAGAACTTAAATAAATAGGTTTCGCGCACATAACTCTAATGTTTTAAAAGTAATTAATGCCCAAAAAGAAATTGGGCCAAATTCTCAATTTTCAACTTGGTATACTTACTTCTTTCAACTTCAATCAAATGGTAAAATTATTTGCCACTAAAAATTGATGGTAATATATCTGTGTAGGGTAAAATTAGTTCGTATTAAATACTCGTCTAATAGAGCGACACGTGAAATCGGAGAAAGATGAAAAGGCGAGACAAGTAAAAATCAAGACCAGAGACAGCAGTTTCGGTTGGCATCAGGAAGCCCCTGAAGAGAGTGTTGCTCATGAAGACAAACGAATGTCTGCTACCCGATAGCATTCAATGAAGAATATTTTGCAGTATTAAATACATAGTCAGTTATAGAGAATATGGCATTCATAGCCCGCCGTTACACATTCTTCAATAGCCCTCATAATTATCATTTAAGAAAGGTTTGATCCTAGGACCTTGTTCCTTAGGTGCAACTATAAATAGAGATTTCAACAACCATTGTAAGGAGACGAATTTTCTTACAAACTTATGCTATATACTCTTCAAAAGCTCAATAATACTTTATTGCTTGTCTTCGAGTATTTGTATTACTGCCTTCGGAAACTCTGCTCTCAAAACCAGAGCTATCTGTTTCTTTATCTAGATTTCAACTGTAAGTCTTGCAATTTTTTTAATATACTTATCATTATAGGATCAAATCGATTCGCTTGTCTATAAATCACGTTACAAATTCAACAGTACCTTTTTACGGGTAAATAGTTTGGCGCCCGCCATGGGGTTTAGACAATTGCGTAATTGGGTTGATCCTTGCATCTATTACTAACCTGTTTGATTCTTTGTTTCTTAGCGAAAAATCATTAAAATCGCAGATAATGACGTCAACATCACGCACAACGTTGAGGCCAAAGGAAATCAACCTCAACACGAAGATTCGATCAGTGCTACCTGCAACGAGGGGGATGAAGCCATGCCGGTTCATGGCGGACAATATCCACGACACGTCCGGGAAGCAACTCCTAATGATGCCGAGGACAAGTACGTTGCGGAAACAATAAGAATCCCGAGGGAACAACAAAAGGCGATTATGGGCCATCTTTCGCAACAAGATCAGGTCATGATAGAGTTGAACCAAGCGTTGTCGGGTGATTCCAGCAACGCGAATGAAAGAGGTACAGTTACTTCTGGAGCTCCCGCAAACCAAACAACACAAATGGTTGATAACAATACCCCGAGGGGTGAGGTCGGCTTCGACAGGGTCGGGGGGAACGGAAACGGATCTGGTAACAATAATGAGAACGATCCCTTTAAAGCCAAACTCATGTGGTTTATGAGGGAAATAAACAGCCGAATGGATCAAATCTCAGGAGCACCGCCAGTGTTGAAAGGATCGGACTCAAAGAAATATACTTAGTTGCCGTTCAAACCAAGCGTCGCACCAGAGTTAATACCGAAGCGGTTCAAATCTATGGTGCGAGTACCATGGGACCAAAGGCCACCGAACTAGGGACTGCCGACATCTGCGCGAGGAGGTGGCGACATTGCTAAAATATGACCATCTCAGAGAATTCTTAAGCGATAGGCTAAGAATAACTACGACTGCAACCGGGATAACACGAAACCCTCAAAAAGAAGAGAAAATCCTCATCGTCTAACGATCAACAAGATTTTCGGTGGGAACGAGATTAATGGTGTAACCTATTCTACAGAGAAAAAGACAAAAATATCGGTGACCCATAGCAAAAGACTCCGGAAAGTCGCCGAGGATGATATCACTTTCACGGAGGAGGACGCAGATGGACTCCTACTACCGCACAACGATGCCTGGTAATTTCTATTAATGTTTTAGATTTTAAAATAAACGTGTTTTGGTGGACCCAGTGATTCAGCCAATATTATCCAATGGAGAGTGCTGGAATAAGCCAAGCTAACCGAAAGCATCATTCCGGGCACAAAACTCCTCGCCGAGTTCAACTTAGTAAGCGTGACAACCTGAGAAGAGATTCCGCAGCCCACGAATGCCTAAGGGATAACGAAGATGACCCTTTTTAAAGTAGTAGATGGCGATATAGGCTACAATATTATTCTTGGAAGACCATGGCTACACGAGATGAAGGTTGTGCCGTCAACATACTATCAACTTCTGAAATTACCTACTCCGGAGGGAATTAAACAGATAAAAGGAGATCAACTGGTGACAAGGAAGATGAACACGATCTCAGTTTCTAGTAGCTAAGGGAGGGAGCGTGCGGCATAGCAATTACAGGAACTGACGCCTGCTCCCGAGCCAAACGAAGTGAACAGGGGAGAGGAGCCGTCAGAATCCTATCAGGTACCAAGATACTTCCAAGAACTAGAAGAAACGGATGCAACCAAATCCACAGTGGAAGAACTCGAGCAAGTCGCATTGTTTGAATAATTCTTGGAGAGGAAGTTTTACTTGGGGAAAGAATTAATTATAGAATTTCTTAAATTTAATGTTGACTGTTTTGCGTGGTCGCATGCGTATATGACAAGTATTCCGCCAGAGATGGACGTGCATAAGTTAAGCCTGGATCCTAACATCCTTCAGTAAGATAGAAGAAACACCCTATTGTCGAGGTCAGAAACAAATTTGTCAAAGAAGAGGTAACTCGATTGCTTGATATCGATTCAATCCTGGAGGTAAAGTATCCTAACTGACTAGCTAATGTAGTTGTAGTTCCAAAAAAGAATAATAAGTTTCGTATGTGCGTAGATTATAAGGATCTAAATAAGGCATGCCCAAAAGGCTCGTTCCCATTGACAAACATTGATCAAATAATTAATGCGACGACCGAGCACAAGTTGATGAGTTTCCTCGATGCCTATTCCGGGTACAACCAACTTAAAATGAACCCGGTGGATCAGGAAAAATCTTCGTTCATAATGAACTTTGGCACATATTGCTATAATATGACGCCTTTCGGGCTTAAGAATGCTGGAACCACTTATCAGATTCTTGTGAATAAAATGTTTAAAAAATAAAGAGGGAGAACCATGGAATTTTACATAGATGATATGTTGGTTAAGTCTTTGAACGCATGTGATCATCTTAAATAATTAAAAGAAACCTTTGATATCCTAAGAAAGTACAATATGAAGCTTAATCTCGAATAATGTGCATTCGGAGTCAGCTCCGGTAAGTTCTTAGGGTTCCTGGTGTCACAAAGGGGGATCAAAGTCAACCCCGATAAAATTAAAGCCATCGACGACATCCCCGACCAGTTATTAAACATTAAAGAGGTTCAAAGGTTAACAGGAAGACTAGCCGCTTTGAGCAGATTCATTTCTCGGTCTTCAGAAAAGTGTCATCACTTCTTCTCACTTTTGGAAAAGAAGAACAACTTCGAATAGACTCCGGAATGCCAACAGGCTCTAAAATTTTTGAAAAGATATTTATCGAGCCCCCCATTACTATCGAAACCGGAGGAAGGCGAGCAATTGTTTATTTACTTAGCGGTCTCGGAGGTTGCGGTAAGTGCCGTCTTAGTTAAATATTTTGAAGGTGACGGTACGCAATCTCTTATCTATTTGTTAGTAAAATTTTAACGGGAGCGGAAAATCGTTACCCACATCTGGAAAAATTGGCCTTACGTAGTCGCCGCTCGAAAGCTTAGGCCTTATTTTCAATGTCATCAAATAGCCGAAGTGACAACCTTTCCCCTACGGAACATCCTTCACAAACCTGAACTATCAGGTCGACATGCCAAATGGGCAGTCAAAATGAGTGAATTTGACATAGAGTATAAACCCAGGACTGCGATCAAGTCACAAGTCTTGGCCAACTTTGTGGCCGATTTCAGTCCTGGACTGCTGCTTTTGGCCACCAAAGAAGCGGTGATGGTGTCGGAATCGACATCGGGAGTCCGGACCTTGTTCATGGACGGAGCTTCCAACGTGAAAGGGTCCGGGCTCGGGGTAGTACTAATCACGCCTATGGGAGAAACCCTGAGGTAGGCCATAAGAATTGTTCCCTTGACTAAAAATGAAGCGGAGTATGAGGCTTTGATTGCAGGACTCGAGTTGGCCCAGGGACTGGACGAGGTCATAGAAATCAAATATGATTCCTAACTGGTAGTAAATCATGTCTACGGGATCTTTGACGCCAACGAGAAACGAATGCAACAATATGTAGTGAAAGTCCAAACTCTACTCGCACGGTTCAAGGAATGTTCAATCACCCACATCCCGAGGGAAGAAAATGCGGAAGCAGATGCACTGACCAATCTAGGCTCATCTACGAAAGTGAAGGGATCAAACTCTAGTACGATTGTGCAATTTATGCATTCGGTATTGGATGTGGACGGTTATTATGAAGTAAACGCGACCAAATTGGTCTGGGACTGAAGAAATGAGATCATTGATTATCTCGAGCACGAAAAATTGCCCGAAGATCCCAAGGCATCCCGGGCGCTGCGCACTAAAGCAACTCGTTACTGCTTCAAGGGAGGCCAATTGTATAGAAAGTCTTTCTAAGGCCCGTTGGCCCGATGTTTAGGAGCCTCCGAGGCTAATTACGTCATGAGAGAAGTTCATGAAGGAGTTTGCGGAAACCACTCGGGCGCGACTCGCTAGTGTTGAAGCTGATTAGGCAGGATACTACTGGCCCCAGATAGAACAAGACACTAAGACATTTGTTTAAAAATATGATAAATGTCAACGCCACGCGTCGTTGGTGCATCAACCAGCGGAATTATTGCAC